GGGCCGGCCTCGGGGCGGGACGGGCGGGCGGGGGGCAGCGCCTTGGGTCCCCGACTCTGGGAGATGATCTGGGTGCATTCGTCGATGACCGTCTTGATCTGGAGGATGGAGGCGGCGGTGAGGATCTGGAGAGCTTCCGATTGGGCCACCACCAAGCAACCGCTGTACATGAACTCCACCAGCTGCCGTACGGCTCCGCTGGGGACAACGGGTGGCACCTCGATGGCCGAGTGACCCAAGAGCAATTTGTCGTGGAAGAAGGGGCTGCCGGCGGCCAGGACGCAGCGGTGGGCTCGGAGGGTGGCCTCGCGGATGCGAACCGTCACGTCACAGAAGTGACCACCCAAGCGTTGGCCGTTGAGGGTCTCCAGGAGCGAACGGCTGAAGTTCTGGAGGTGGATGTAGTGGACCGCCTCCGCCATGGCCGCGGGGCTGGGCGCCAGCGGGGCCCGGCGTCGTCGGTGAGGTCGGGAGATACCTGAGGGAAGAGCAACAGGGTTTGGGGACATCGTATGAGGTGACACCAAGGGTTGGGGACATCACCGTGGTGTGGAGAAGCCACCTTATGGGATGTCACCAAGGGCTGGGGACATCAACGTGGTGTGGAGAAGCCACCTTATGGGATGTCACCATGGGCGGGGACATCAACGTGGTGTGGAGAAGCCACCAGGACATCACCAGGAGCTGGGGACACTACTGAGGACATCTCCGGGGGCATTAAGGACACAGCTGGGGACATCACCGTGGTGTGGAGAAGCCACCAGGACGTCACCAGGAGCTGGGGACACCACTGAGGACATCTCCAGGGGGGTAAGGACACAGCTGGGGACATCAGCGTGGTGTGGAGAAGCCACCAGCGTGTCACCAGGGTCTGGGGACATCTTATGGGATGTCACCATGGGCTGGGGACACCAACGTGGTGTGGAGATGCCCATGTGACATCACCAGGGGCCGGGGACACCCTGTGTGACGTCACCGGGAGCCAGGGACACCCTGTGTGACATCGCCAGGGTCTGGGGACACCGTAGGTGACATCACCAGGGGCTGGGGACATCCTGTGTGACATCAGCAGGGGCTTGGGCCACGGTTGGGGACGTTGACAGGGTCTGGGAACACCATAGGTGACATCACCGGGGGCCGGGGACACCCTGTGTGATGTCACCGGGGGCTTGGGCCG